ATACAATCTGAATATCAACATCAGCTGAGCACGTGGTCATGTGAATGTCCTACATGTCAGCTCAGCGTTAAGTAGTACGTTGACCTTTAGAATTCGGGAAAGGTACTTTATGCTAGCAATTCACATTTAACAATAAGTAGCTCAATTTCTTTTCCTATCATAAAGAAGAATGAAAAATTAATTCATTAACTTACCTTCCCACAACAAGAAACTAGTGGTACTGAAGGGCTGTGTTTGGAACAAAAGTCAGCTGCAGGTCAAATGAAAATAGAATTATTTAGTAGCAGTAGTAGTAATTCTTTTTATGACATTATTAGTAATATTGCATAATGCTGTGTAATTAAGATCTTAAGACCTATCCAGGAAAGCAATTCATCAGTTGTTTTCAAATTAAGGCTGTATGTTTTTTTTGCAGATATGCTGAAATAACTCATGATAAATTTGTGTTCTACAAATATCTATCAATCTCTTAAGGCTAAACAATAAGGCATGAGAATCAAACTAACTGTTCCTTGCCTAGAGCAGCTTACACAAATTCCAGGTCAGATCCAGAGATCGTGCTGAAACTGCGGTTCAGGCAGCAGCTGCTGTAATAAAGAGGAGCAGCAATTTGTCAGGGTTCAAGAACACAAGACTGCCACTGGAAAAGTTTAGCAGCATAAATAAGGGTCTTAGGAAGAAAGGTGAAGGGAAAGAAGACAATAGGAACCCTCTCTTCTGAAGTGTAAAGGTGCAGATTGTAATGGAAGAGTATCAAAAGCTGAAAGGGATAAGGAAAGCAGAAAAAGTGCAACCTGACAGCATAAACTTACACTGTGGGAGGTGAGGCCCAAAACTGGAAATTATTCTCAGAACAATTCCCTTCTTTACCTGTTTTGCATTGTGATTGAAAGCTGTTTACTTAGAGGAGAACTTCCCAGGGGAAGCAGCTATATTTTGTTGTATCCAGCTCTTGAAACTCATGTTACCATTTATCATATGAGCCTATATAAAGGCAAAGATAAATAAAAAGCTCCTGTAAGGGCAGAGGCATGAGGGAGATAGAGAAAAATAAGACGCATTCTGGCTAGTTATTTTTTGAATGACTGCATGTTTTTCAGAGGTTGAGAGTAGGAATCTTAAAGACACTGCTAGTGAAGAGGAAATGAAGCTGCGGGCTGATCTCATATTCTGAGATGCACTTAGAGAGAACGACCACGAGCAGGCACAGGCACACACCCCAGGGAGCAGGAGGTAAGTCTGGGAACACACTGAAGTTGACAATCAGAAGGTAAGATTCCTTACTAGTAACCAGAGCCTGGAAGATGCATTGTCCACAAGTGCTTCCATATTATGCTTCCCTCACATGCTCTGTACTTTCATGATCACTTTCCACTAAAGCAATGCTTACAAGATATGCTTGATGCATGAATAAATCCCTAATGTGTGTTATACAGCTCAACCAAAACCCCTTAACTGCAGAAACTCAGAGAGCTAGCAAAGGGCTATCAGAAGTGAGGAAAGGGAAGGAAAATGTACGTACAAGGGAGCAATTATTTTTAAGAATATTCATGCCTGGTAAATTCTTGCATCTTAGCTGGATTGCAGGTAAATTCAAGTTACTGCTTGGCATCCAACTCCACTGCTCCAATTCTGATTCCACATCCTCAGGTTCTACAAGAGGCTGTTGCAGAATCTTTCAGAGGAACAACAAAGGGATCACAGCCTTAGATACACTAAGTACTCAATTTTTCCTGTGTCTATGTTGCCTGGTTCAGGTGCCTCAGAGTAAAGACAAGTTTTGTAAAATTAAACCTTGCACACTGTTAAAATTTTAAATTGGTATCAAGAAAAGGAAAGAGTTGTTTGGTTGAAAAGAAGTGAAATCTTCAGACCGGGGACTTTATTTCTTCCTCTTCATCTGAGACTGAAAGAAAAAGAATGTGTCCTATGTAACATTTTGAAGGCTTTGTGAAACTGCTGAATGACAGTGCTGAGTATGGCATTGCACGGCTGAGCACACAGCAACCTTCAGTATTGTGAGTACAATCTAAATTCACTTGGGTAGACCAACAGCCATGTATTCCTAAATTCCTCCTCCCACTTGTCTGTAGCTCCACAGGATGTTGGCTAAAAGATAGCCAGAGTTTAAAGCCTATATTAAAAAATGGTGCCTGCCCACTATCTTGTGCACCTCCATTTAGTAACGACAAGACCGCATTCAGTAGAACAAGTGTCATGACTGCAGTAAACTAAATTTTAAGGCGTGTAACCAAAGTTTTTATTCTCCCCCTACTAAAAAAACCCTTTGATACATATATCTTTTAATCTGCTTACATTCCAGGTAACCTACCAGCTGCCCCTTACAATTTGTAACTAGAAAATAGTGTGATAAAAACTACTGATTATACATCTTAAGTCAATTTTATAATTATTTCAGCTGGCTACTTGTGGCATAAGCTCTATGTGAAGTGTCAGAACTAGTTAGTTGTGGGTACTGGAGGGAGAGTGCTTGTACTGCCCCTTCCCACAAACCCTGTTAAGAGTGACTCGTAACACACACCCACATATGTGTATGTGACAGGCCCCAGATTAGCTGTCACTACTCAGGAAACACAGTACAGTCATGACTACTGGAAATCTCAGTGCTTAGCATTATTATTAAGAAATGCAGCAACAAGAATGTTTCAGAAATGAGCAACAAACACCATCATCTCACCATAGAAATGCATGGTGAATAAAATTTAAAACCCTGCACATACCTGAATCCTCTTCTCTCAAAAATGGGGTAGCTGAACAAAAAGGAGGCACAAGAAAGTCAACAAGAACAATCAGAGGCACTGAGCAGGTTCTGTGCAACGATTATACTGTCCAAAACTGTTCATCTTGGAAGACAGGTGTGTTGGGAAACATACAAGAACTACAAAGCTATGAAAATGGTCAAAGGTATTAACAGAGGACAAACACTTCTTGGTAAAAAAGACTCTGGAGCCCAGTTAAATTAGAAAGCTAACATAGGTACATACTTTCAAAGAAAGCATAATTAAATCTTGCAACTCTGTCAAAGGATGTAGTAGAAGCTCTAAATACAGTTACTTCTGGCATCAACATGACAAGACTTGCAGTGAGCTTCACAGTCCAATTACAAGCACCACACAATGTCCCTGACCATGTAAAGCTACAACAGGGAGCAGAAGTTAAGCATATTTGAAAGAAAACAAATCCCTCCATTTTTCCGGGTTTTATATACATATACGTATATGAAGTGTAATGTATAATATATACATCCATAAGTATATGAATATATATGATCCATATACCCAATTATCATATATATATGTATATGTGTGGTTAATATTAATAAACAAAACCCTGTGTGTTTGCACATAAACAATACATGAAAATTCTATTTCAGAAAATCTGAAATTGCTGTATAGTAACCACTAAATTTTAATTAGTTGGACAGAATTCTAAGAGCTGACAATTACCACTTTTCTTCAATAAGGGCAAGGAAGAGGACCCAGGGAACTACAGGCTAGCCAGCCTCACCTCAGTCCCTGGAAATGTGCCTCATTCTGGAGGCCACCTCTGCCAACACGGAAGACAAGAGGGTGATCAGCTGTCAGCATACATTCATGAAAAGGGTTCACAAATTCTTCCCATCCCCATCTGGTCTAAAACCTGTATTGCCATAGACCTGTTGAAGCAAGTCCAGACAAGGCCACCAAGTGGATTAGAGGGATGGAGCACCTCTGCTGTGGGGAAAAGCTGAGAGAATTTGGATTGTTCAGTATGGAAAGGAGAAGGCTTTGAGGTCACCTAATTGTGGCCTTTTAGTACCTGAAAGGCCTACATGAAGGACAGAGAGGGACGTTTTACAAGAGCATGCAGTGACAGAACAAGTGTGAAACGGCTTCAGACTGAAAGAGAGTAGGTTTAGATTAGGTATTAGGAGGAAATTCTGTGAGGTGCTGAAGCACAGGCACAGGTTGTCTACAGCAGCTGTGGCTGCTCCATCCTTGGGAGTGTTCCAGGCCAGGTTGGATGGGGCTTGGAGCAACCTGGGCTAGTGTGAGGTGTCCCTGCCCCTGGCAGGGGGGTTGGAACTAGATGGTCTTTAAGGTCTCTTCCAACCCAGGCCATTCTATGATTCTATATTTCTAAATTTTACTAATTCCTCTGATTTTGGCTGAATATTGCTCTAGCTTGGTTGGAAATTCAAGGGACAGAAACAGTACTTGATAAACTCAAACTGAACAAAGGTTCAGAACGAGATTCAGAACTCTGATTGTATATCATTGCATTGGAAATTACTCATGCTACTGCATTACCCATAGTCAAGTCTCTGTCTTTTTATCTTTATCCGATTCTAATGCTGATATACACACATGCACACAAATGAAGCAGATGTCTCAGCTATAATTAATCATTCAGAATGGGCTGTATGCACAGAGTACAATAGAAGTGCACAAGAAATTCTACACAGCAGAATGTGGTGAACTTGAATGGTTCGTGGATCTGGGATAACCCTTTTTATCTTTAGCAGACTGAACTAAGTGTATTGACAGGATAGCTCCAAGAGTATGAAGGCAGCAGAAGCCTGTGAGTGAACTATTTACACTCAGTAACCAACCTGAGAAGCTGCCACCATACCACATGTCAGTGAACAGAACTGCTGCCGCCAACACAACCTCCAAGGTCAGAAACCAGGGAACCTCTACCACCCCATCCATGGACCCCAACCTGTTAGGAAGGTAGTGAGAGGTGGGGAACACAGCACAGATGATGTTGTTTATGACCAGAAAGATGCTCTACCCAAACTATCTCCGAGAGTCAAGAATCTGCTGACAGCTTGGTGTGCTCCCAGCACACACATGGGATGCCAGGCTAAACCACCCAAGCCTTCTGGTCAGACGCAGGGCACAAACTTAGCAGGCAGCCCACGGTATCAGGGGCAGAGGCTGAGACAACCTCAAAGCAGGAATAGCAGTGTACAGGTATGAAAGAAACTGCCCAGGCTGTTACAGTAAATGACTTTTATTTTTTTAAAAATGAAATAACCGTGAACATATTACCAGGCCTGCGAGTGGCACTGCAGTACAGCTGGAGATAAGGGCAGTACATTTCCCCATGTGCCCAGACAATGAAATTCATTGCATCAATGCTGACATTAGTAAATTCTGAATACAGTTCTATCAAGCAGGAACATTTTACTTAAAATAGTTCTGGACAAAGTTGACACTGAAAGTTAACTTTTCCTTCACTTTGGAAAGGACAGATGTTTTCAGCTAGCAATGGTATTGGGTGAACTATTGCCTGCATTCACCAGTGCAGGGAGAGATGTACAACATCTCCACGAGAACAGTTTATACTCTTTTCTACTTCTCATTCCGAGGAAGCAGGGTGGCATAGGGAGAGGGAGGAAGATAGGTGAGGAACATGGGCAAGGGAGGTGGGGTGTCAATTTCTATTCAACTCTCCTTTGGCTGTTTTTGTGCTGTTTTGGACTGCTTTCTAAAAATCATTTCTTGATTTTATTGAAAGGAAGACTAAATGTAATGCGCCTTTCCTTGAAAATCCAGGAACAGTTGTGGTACTTCAAAAATACTAAAAATATCTACTTTCATGAAATATTAACCGTTTCACTACAAACCTATTTCTTTTTCACTAAATACACAATCCTCTTATTTCTGGAGTCTCCCAGGGGAAAAAACGGGTTCTCCCTTTAGTTCTGCAACTCTACAGAGTATAGAGAAACGGCTACAAGAAGGGGAGTGCAGAGAATAGCTTTATCCTTTTCCTTGGCCTGTATCTCATATGGGAAGTTTGCTTGAATTTCTGCAGTTGGGCTACTGTTGGTCCCACTCTTTCAGCAGCTATCAACTCAGTCTGCAGCAGGACAACCCACCTCCAGCACGTTCCGTCTAACTTCGTGGAGACTAACTAGGCATGAGGGAAAAAAACATCCACACTCTTTATACCATTTCTAATCATAATATGCAGGAACACCAAGTGGTTTCCATGTTCTTCCAATTTGCAAAAGGCCACAGGAAAGGGACATGGCACCTTTTAGAATCTGGAATTCTGCATGTAACAGTGCGACCTTCCATTAGACCTTCAGTGTTGAGGCAGCGCAGAAAACAGTGGCTGAAGAGTGTGTGTAATACTGACCACACCAGCTCTCAGTGAGAAGCCTCTGCTCCTGCAGAGGCAGTCGTGTGCAGTCCCTGTATATACCGTGAGCAAAAGGCTTACTTGACAGGGCATTTGGAATTAGCAATTCCTACGATCTAGCTAGTTTGGATTCATGAGCTTTCAGTGTGCCAACAGCATCTTTCACTGCATGGTAGATAATATTCTTCACCTGAAACAGGAAAAGAAAAATCAACTTCTACAGACTAACAAGGACAGCCTTACATACCTACGCAAGCAACTCTGACAGCTGAATTTGCAATAGTTGGCATGTATACACAAAGCATATACTGTCCCTGCTTCAGGATATCAACAGCACAAATTTTAACACTCACAGAGGACAAGTATTTTAGACACCTGCACTGATTTATTAACTCATTTTCTGGTCACCCAGCAACATTATATATATATATATATATACACACACACACACACACACACTCATTTTAAGATAAATTTTCCCTTTTGTGAGACCTAGGAGGAAGTGCTCTATGAAGTGTTGTATAAGAGCTTAGTTTGAAAAAGTCCTTGGGATCCAAGTCACTTACAGATTAACATGAAGAATACCAAAAAGGTGCAAGAAAATCATAGTGTTTCAGCCTATGAAAATTAAGATGATGCAATAAATCATCCCGTTGCCTTTGTATGGAGGCTAGAAATTCTCCTGATTTGTGTATCTTCCAGAAAGGCAAGCAAGATCAGAGGTGAGAAATCCACTACTACTCACAGCAGTCTGTTGCACAGTTAGCGATTTAACAATCAAAGCTCTGTCTTGTTTCTGATTTTTTTCTGGTCTAAGTTTACTTGAATTCTGTTTCTAGGTATTGAACAGAACAGTTTCACCTCTAAGTGAGCAGCTCAATTGCACTTGCTCAACTAACTACCAAGCACCATAATCTTTTCCTGATGTATATATGAGCTCAGTTTTGTTGTATCATTTATGCAATGGTTACTGTCTCTGTGTATGTAATATAGAAAAATACAAAGGTTTATATAAAAATATACATGAAAAATGATGAAGAAAAATGGTAAAGTCCAACTGAGACAAATACAACATGTATTCCTTTTCAGAGGAGTACTAAGTTGCACTTTTCCAGCAGGTACTTTTTTCTGGCTTTTTTTTTTAATAGCAAGCTTTATTCATTTGCAACCTATTAATTTACATAAACACTTTCATATTTGTATCATTACAGCTGAAGAGGTACAGTGTTAGAAGCTGAAATGAGAGTCAATCCTATTTCTGCTCTCCTTTAAAATCCTGTGCATTTCAGAGGAGTACTAAGTTGCACTTTTCCAGCAGGTACTTTTTTCTGGCTTTTTTTTTTAATAGCAAGCTTTATTCATTTGCAACCTATTAATTTACATAAACACTTTCATATTTGTATCATTACAGCTGAAGAGGTACAGTGTTAGAAGCTGAAATGAGAGTCAATCCTATTTCTGCTCTCCTTTAAAATCCTGTGCAAACCCCAAATTTATA